CACTTGAAACCAAGTGGTGCAAAAACATATTCATATGTCACTGCTAGTGAACTTCCTCAGTTCCAGGTTGTATAGTCCTAAAGAGAGAAATACTACTACTTCATAGAAGCAGATATAGATATTTATTACAAAAAGCTAGAAGTTAAATTTGTCTTAGGCGATCACTGTAGGAAATAAAACCTGAAACTAACAGTCACGTAGAGTGTAATTTGGCACAAAATTCTTTTTTCCAAGAGGCTGAAGAGACTCAAATTAGTCTTACACTGCCTTAAACGTAGGAGCAGGATTTTTTCAGACCTGGCCCTCAAACAGGACTAATATATGCACTGCACCTTGGGTAGGTTTTAGAATCTGTTATTTTGAAAAAACTTTCATGTTTATAAAAAAGCTATTACTTTTGCTTCCTGTACCATGAACTGAGGTTGAAGCATCTTTCTCCTTTGTGAGAGGCTCTTCAGCCTCTGATCACATTTACCTTACCACTTAGTTTGTAAATTTGGGGGGGCAGGGCAGGGAGAAGAGGAACAGTGGAGAAGCTATTTTAAGGTAAATTGGCAAACCAATTGTTTATGTACTTGGAGTTTTTATTTTAAGTTTATGTACAGCTTTTCTCCTGGAAAAAAAAAAAAAGATGCTTTTAAGATGGCATTTCTAAATGTGATATATGGCTTTTTAAATTATTTTTTTTTTTTACCAGAACAGTGTTAAATTGTCTGGATTTTAAAAGCTATTATGTCTTATTTTGCTACTAGCTTTTATTACTGCTTTCAGTATTTTTTTTACTCCATTTCTTGCTTATTTCCCAGGGAGTGTCCTGAACTTCTTGTAAGCAATTGCTACTTATGTGAAGATTGTAATTTTGAACTTGTAAATACTTAAGGGCTGTTAGTGGCTGTTAGCTGCTCGAATACATAAAAACAAACCTTGCATGCTGTAAGTAAATACATCTGTTGTGCTAAAAGTTGTTTCTGTTTCAGTGCTTGCTTTCTCAATACAAAATTGAGATTTTTTCATACACAATACATAAGATATTTATAATTCAGTGGTATGAAGGGGCATTGCTGTGTAACTCCTATTAACTTTACTGGGAGTTCTGCACCTAGTTCCTTCCATATTACATCGAGAATGAACTCTGGAGGTCATGTCCATGCTCTGACATGCATTCAGGCATCTGTGTGTGTGAAGGGACTTGCCTTCTAAGGTGTAAATGTAATATCCTTGCTTTTGAGGTCTGAGAGATTGTTCTTTTTAAAATCATACTTAGCTTAGCCCAGTTTTTGTAAGACTTTTAAAGGGCTTAACTTGGAAGTTGTTTCTTAGGAGCTGGAACTGGCTGTACATTTGCAACGCTTAATTGATGCTTTCTACTCTGTACCATAATTGTGCTGAATGACAAGATCCTGGAATAATGTCAGTAGATACAATGCTGACAGGAGAATGGATTCTTGGGGTATTGTGACTCAAAGTAATTGATTCTTGGGTGGTTTTTTGGTCTAATATAGAATGTTTCTAGGTTATACAATTTACTGCTATGTTCTACAAATGACTGAGGAAACTTTGACTTTTTTGTGTGAGGAAGTCTCATTGAATTGATTTCATCAATGCTAGGATTTTATTCTAGTGGAAAGCTGGTGGTGGTTTTGTTCCAGCAAAAATATACAAGCTTATTTTACTGTAAATGCCATATTTATCAAATTGATAGATTAGTTGGGTCACTAATGTTTTTCTTACTATAGTATTACTTGAAACAAAGGAAACAAAGCTTAATTTGGAAACGAAATGTGGTATTGTGTGGCAGAGAGGATATAGCTCTTCAGGTGTTCTCTAAAAAGTGAATATCACATGCTGGAGTTGAAGCAAATTTAACTATGCGTTAGAAAAATGTCTTGGCCCTCCATTCTGCACCAGAAATAATTTGCATGTTGGTAAGAGTCCATTTAACAAAATGAAGCAAACGAATATGCTCTTGCAGTGTATAATTAGTAGCTGTTCCTGTAGGATCAAAGAAGAATAGAGGGTATGTAGGAGAATACCTTAAAGATATTGACCAGTAAATGTAAATAAAA